TGTGTGAGAGAGAGTGAGTGTGAGTGAGAGAGTGTGTGTGTGTGTGTGTGAGTGAGTGAGTGTGTGAGAGAGAGTGAGTGTGAGTGAGAGAGTGTGTGTGTATGAGTGAGAGACACAATACTGTTACACAGTACATAATGTTACATTTCTCTGTCCAGCAGTTGCTACAGGAAAATTGTTATTATTATAATTTATTTTTATTTGATTTATTTATTTTTCCCTATATGTATCTTTGTCAAAATGTATTTTTGTCATGCCAATAAAGCTCTTTGAATTGAATTGTGAAATTGAGTGAGTGTGTGTGTGTGTGCACCTTGGGGTCTGGTTCAGTGATGTCAGAGCTGCTCGTGCAGTAGGCGGGGCTTGAGCGTGCGAGAGGTGGGCGGGTCACGTAGAAGACGTCTTTGTTTCCACGGAGATCTCGCTCGGAGAACGCAGCCATTCCAGGGTGAGAGAGAATGCCGCTGCCGGAGAGACCGGCTGTTGGAGACGGCAGACGAGAGATATCTATGGAGCTACACACACACACACACACACACACACACACATCAGTCTGATAAATCCTAGCGAACATGTCTCTATAGAATATAAACCTCCATCCCAGTAAGACCATGGCACTTTGCCGTTACTGTACTGTGCTTCAGAGCGAGCGACAGTCAGTCAGTCACCTGTTGAGGTCTCTCATCATGAGGCTCTGGAAGTCGTTGGTGGCGAGGCGGCTGAAGGTGGGCCGGGTCAGGTGGCGTTCGGGCGGCTGGTGACTCGCCTGACGGTGCAGCTGTGGGTTCCTCAGCGCCACGCTGATGTCATTCAGTAACCGCGGCAACGGCCCCAGCTTCAGGATGGCGTCCTGAAGAAACGCAAACACTTGAGCGCTCCGAGACTCCCACACACACACACGAAGAAGAGTGGCCCGTACCTTACTCAGCTGCGCCATGACCTCCCACAGCAGACTATGCAGGATGGAGAGCTCTCGGCCCAGGTCGATGTAGCCCTCGAACGCCCCGGCGTTACTCACACACTCCAGATTAGAGATCTCGTACAGGAACTGCTGCATGGAGCCCCACTCCATCTCCAGGAACTCATTCATGAAGCCCAGATAGTCCTCCTTCCCACTGAACCTGCAGAGAACACACACACACACACACACACACAGAGAGAGAGAGAGAGAGTCACACACACACACACACACACAGAGAGAGAGAGAGAGAGTCACACACACACACACACACACAGAGAGAGAGAGAGAGAGTCACACACACACACACACACACAGAGAGAGAGAGAGAGAGTCACACACACACACACACACACAGAGAGACAAAGAGAGAGAGAGAGAGAGGGGACAGATCCATGGAGAGAGACAGAGACAGAGACAGAGACACACACACACAGAGAGAGAGAGAGAGAGGACAGATCCATGGAGAGAGACAGAGAAAGTGATGGGCGACAGAAAGACAGAGAGACAGATGATAAGTGACTGAAGATCAGCTTTAAACACAGAGCACCGTGAGACACACGAGACACACAGAGAAACCCTGAGACTCGATGAGACACACAGCAGGGACCGACCAGAGTCATCATCACTAACTACAGCTAAAACATCTTCATTAAACAGTGAACTGAAATCAAATCAAATATAAAAAAACTACATTTCTCAGTTTTGTTTAATTTACCTTGATATACTACAATAACTGGAATAAAGTGATACCACACAGACATAAAGAAATGACTTTTAAAACTTTAAAATTAAAACTAAATTATTAACAAAAACTAATTTAAAATATGAGCTACAACTGTAATAGTAAGCATACAAATAAAACAATCATATAATGTATAATTATATATAATGTATAGTTTTAATTAAATAAAACTAAAGCTAGTAAAAAGAGCAAAAATACACAACAAAATTACTAAAACTTTAACTGAAACGAAAATATTAAAATAAAACTACTTTAAAAAGATGAACTAGAACTATAATGGTAACATAATAAAATCTATATAGACATTAAAGTGGTCCTATTATGCTCTTTTACAAAGTCTAGGTTGTTTGAAAAACACATTATTTTTCACATATTTTACATTATTACAACATCTCTCTCCCCAGTCTGGCATGAACGGCTCGAATAGTTCCTGTATCAAATGAAGACCTGCCTTCTGAAATACGAAATGTGTTGTGATTGGTTAGCTGGGCTGGTGTGTGTTGTGATTGGTTAGCTGGGCCAGTGTGCGCTGTGATTGGTTAGCTGGGTCAGTGTGTGTTGTGATTGGTTAGCTGGGTCAGTGTGTGCTGTGATTGGCAGCACTCAGCGCCTGGTCGGGAAATGTCATGCCCCTTACTATAGCCGCCTGCGAGCTTCAGTAAATATTGCGTCTAAATGAAATCAATTTGAGAGTGATTTAAACCCGGATGATTGTAAGCACTCTAAGTTCGTCTGTCTTGGGAAAGCTAGCGTGTCTCCGGCAGAGTGATAGCACTCGTTGTCTTCTCTAGTGCAGCTCAACCAGGTCTCGTCCCATTCGTCGATATTTGTGATGTCACAAATCCCGGAAAATATGCGTTGTAGTCCAAACGAGTCGTTCGTTGTAGTTTTTGAAAAGTGATTTCTGTTAAATAAAACATTTCCTTTTGAAGTGGACTTTGAGCTTTGTAACTTTGCAGACCTTTTTAAAAAAGTCTCAAACAGCAACATTACAGACTAACTAAAATTAAAAAAGTGAAAAAGCATAATAGGACCCCTTTAAAAAACTAAAATGACCAACAAACAATAAAATTACTAAAACTTTAACTTGAATTAAAATGTAAAAATATTTAAATAAAACTAAATTCAACTAAAATTATAATAGGAACTATATAGAACCATTTAAAAAAAAAATTATCTTACCAAAACTTCAACTAAACTTAAAAGGAAAAAAAAATATATATAAAAATTCTAAATATTAATTACAACTACAATAGAAAACTACAATCACAACTACCTAGAAATATTAAAATAAAACTAATGAAAATGACCATCACACAACAAACATATGAACTCTTTCCCCGCCACTGACGAGTTATCTCGTCTTTTAGAAGAAAACCCTCCCCCGCCAAAGACGAGTTTATACAGATCTCCGTGTTTTCACTGTTATACACTCGGGGGCGCTATTACACATCTTCTGAACGAGTACAAAACCTCCCGAACAAAAACACACGTGAACAGGACGGAGAAACCAGCCATCTCGTATTGCATATTCAAATATTCAAACAGCAAAATATACTGGAGGCCATCAAATTTGAGTGAAAATCATCAAAATCGCTGGCGGTGGCTGGCAACTTTTTAAAAAAATGCTGGCGGGGAAAGAGTTAAAATAGAAAGTAATTTAAATATTAACTAGAACTATAACAGCACTGGTGTGGAGGGCTAAATGGAGATGGAAGTGAGGTGGGCGTGTCATGTGACGTGTGAGGATGACTGGATGACGCTGGACTCTAGTGACTGACTTGGAAAAGCTGGCCAGGCTCTGCACCACCTTGGCGATGAGCGTGAGGGTTCGAGAGGTGCGTTCGGACGGATACTCCTGCGTCAGACTGAACAGAGACGGGGACATGATGGCGGGACACAGGAAGCGCAGGAAGAGAGACGAGCTGATGAGACGGTCAGCGATGTCCTCCCGGCCGCGCTCAGCGCAGCGCACACGCCACGACGCAAACACCTCCTTCAGCTCGCGAGGAAACACACTGCAGAGAGAGAACACATCCCATCATGCACTGCCATCCCTGCCGAACTGAGAGCAGCTCAAACCGGCTGATGACGTGAGCCGGTTTACATGTCAATATGGTTTCTAGTCTTTTACTATCTGGTTCAAGCGGGTCTAGACGGTGTGTTAACCAGTGTGGCCGAGGCTGACCTGGTAGATCAGTTACAATGAAACCAGATTGTTTCAGAAATGTAGCAAGTTATTGCATCCCGATGAAAGATTATGACAACAAACGTGCTTTTCTTCAGAGTAACAGAACAGCTAATGAATCATTCACAGGAACATGAATTAAAAATTAAAATAAATAAAAACTGTAAAAATAAACACTTACTAATATTTAATTAAGTCATAAAAAAACAATTCTAAAATAAAAATAATTAAAATGCTACTAATTAAATCAAATAAATAATTAAAACAATGTAAAACAGTAAGATTACTAAATATTTTCAAAATAAAAACAACTATTCAAAAAAACTCTAAAACTAAATCATTAAAATGTACAACTGAAATAAATATAAAAAAACTAAAATAACACACTTAATAAAAATGCATTAAATCATCAAAATTAAAACGATATAAAAAAACTAATTTCTTAAAATTAAGTACATCATAAAAATTTAAAATTGAAATAAATAATTTTTAAATAAATGCAACCAAAATAAAATGTTTTGTAATAATTAATTAGATAATTAAAATGCCAAATTTAAATAACTTTAAATAAAAGCAAATCAAAATAAAACTACATCATAAAATTGTTTAATTTAAATATGTTTTAAGTTAATACAATCAAAATAAAACCCTTACTAATAATTAATTAAATAATAAAAAAACAATTGAAATAATTTTAAAATAAAAACAATGAAATCATAACAATGTAAAAAATTACTAAACTTGAAAACAAAAACAAAAAAACTTTAACTACATCATAAAAATATAATTAAAATAACACAATTAATAATAATAATCAATTAAATCATTAAAATAAAAAAAATAAATCATTTCAAAATAAAATGATTAAAATAAACTACATAAAAAAATGTATATTAAGTACATCATACAAATGTAAAATGTAAATAAATAATTTTAAAACAAATGCAACCAAAATAAAACATTTTGTAATAATTTATTAGTTAAAATTGAAATAACTTAATTAAACAATAAAAATGCACAATTTAAATAATGATATTAATAAAAACAAATAAAAATAAAACACTTTCTATAAAAAGATGAAATAATGTGTGTTTAGCTTCATGTCATGTGACCATTAACTGACACCAGAGATCCGTGAACAAGGGAGTGTGTGCTAGAAGACAGGAACTGACCAGTGTGAGTTGATGATCTTGCAGAGCGCTAGTTCACAGCACATGCGCAGGTTAGCCTGATGATCTGACAGCACCGACGGAGGCGTTCGCATCGGATCCACCTCACAGTTCTCCTCCGACTCGTACAGCGCACGGATGAACTCTCCTGCAGAGCATCACCATCATCATCACCATTATCCTCACACACATATACACTCACACACACACACTCCCTCCCTCACACACACACACACACACACACATAAATAAAAATGAGAAGAGTGCTAAACTAACGCTGTCTTCTGTATCTAAACACACACACACGCTAACTGCAAGCTTAGCAGTGTTTTCAGAAAGCAAGCGCGTTGCCACCAGTGTTGGGGAAAGTTACTTTTAAAAGTAATGCGTTACAATATTGCGTTACTCCATAAAAAAGTAACTAATTACGTTACTTAGTTACTTTTTATGGAAAGTAATGCGTTACGTTACTTTTGCGTTACTTTTCA